CCTCTCTTGATCAACCCACTAATAACTAAGAAAACAACCCAAATGTACTCTTTTAGAGTTCCTCCTCCTCGCCTTCATCTACAATGAACTTTGAAAAGGCTGCTATCTGAACTTGACCACCAAGACAGAGGGGCCAAAAATGAAAAAATGCAGCAATCATAGATCATCCAAGCTGCTGAATACTCCTCCAGTTTCTTAAAGATTACCACTACGGAAGTTGGGGAGCAAGGAAAAAAGTAAGCCAGCTGAATGCGAGCCCAAGAAGTGGAGGTTTACAGTGAGCTATGACTGTGCCACTGCTCTCCAGCCTCAGTGGCAGAGCAAGACTATGTCTCTAGGAAAAAAAAACAATAATTTTAAAAATTTTTTAAAAGATTGCTAAATGCAAAAAACTAAGAATAAAGCAGGTGACCAGCAACAGCTACTAAACTACTTCTGGAAAAGTCTCAACACTTCAGTCTTTCAAAATGGTACAACTTTGAACGACTATCACAAAAATCAAGAGCTGACTCAAAAACAACAAATAAAAGTGGTCATTTTAGTCAATATTTTGCCCACAGCCCAGATACCCCTTAATGCAAGTTAACATATAACAGAGAAAATGCTCTTCCAATAAACACAATTGTGACATCTCCCTGACAAAAATATTTGTTTAGGCCCTGATAACAGTGTTCACCTGGGAATACCACATTCAATTAAATTAGGAAATTTAAGACTAAGGTCAGACCACAGGCAGTCATGAGTGCCTGGCCCAGCTGGTGAATAGAAAGTGAAACTGAGTCATAGGGAGAGTGTGCAGACCCGCTGGAGTCCGGAAAGGGTGGAGGAGCACCCACCTTGGTTGCCACCACTGTCAAAGTGCTATCAATTCCCATCAGGCACAGATCTCAAGTATTACATAACCCAAGAAATGAGACAAACTGCCTCAGCCTAACCTGAATAAACCCCAGCATCAAGCGCTATTGTTTATAAACAGCGTGCACTGGAGGCAGGGGAAGATCATGTTTTTTTTTTTTTTTTTAATAGGTCACTCTCAAGATTTACAGATTTAAGAAAGCAAAAACAAAATCAAAAAAAAAAAACAGCAAAATTGGGAAATTAAGGTCCAATTTATAGTTGTTACCATGAGGTCAACTTTTATTAACACCTTCTGTGCAGGACTCTTTTAAGAAACGTTAATTCTCTTAAAGCATTTAAGCACATTTCTGTGTATTATAATTTCACAATAAAAGTTACAGAAAGACAAAAGGCACGTAAGTCCCAACCTTCCAGGGGCTTTATATCAAACTTATTTAAAGACATTCTAGCTTTCTCATTTGATAATGTTATCTAAGAGCAAAGATAAAGTCTGAACTTCACTTTCACATTTGTCATCAGTCTCAATGTCTGCATTTCAAGCATTAATACTACTCCCTAGGGCCAGATGCTATGCCAGTTATGTAAAGATTGATCATTTGTTACACACAACCCGACTCATTAATTCTCCGGATCCAAACATAAGACATCCTTATTATATATAACAAAATAGCGAGCAACTCGCAGAATCTGTTTATAAGAAGTAATGATGGGGCAGTGCCTATGGCTCAAAGGAGTAGGACGCCGGCCCCATATACCAGAGGTGATGGGTTCAAACCTCACCCCGGCCAAAAACTGCAAAAAAAAAAAGTTGATGAATTTCAGGAAGATCTTAACACTATTTCCCCTTTCCATCTGTTCACATTCTTACAAGTCATCAGACTGTATTTTGAGGGCATTAGGCCCTGGCCAACCTCACATTCAGAAGGGAATTTTTATTAATTTATTCAGCTGAAATTTTTTAACCCTGAAATACACAAGTTAAAACAGACTAGGCCACCTGTTGCCTCCTGCCCTCAAAAGAATTCGTCCCAGAAGCACAGGGAAAACCCTCCAAAGATTATCTCAGAAACAGGCAGCTGCTCCAGGGTAGAGGAGGTGAAGCACCCACTGCAGGCCCGCTCCTGCCCCAGAGTCTAGCCAAGAGGCAGAAGTCACAGAGTTGTGGGAGCACCAAAAAAAAAAAAAAAAAAAAAAAGCCAAATAACAACAAGTAGATTGCTCTCAATCTATGATGGTTTTAATATCTCACTTATAACATGGACCTTATACCTTAGTGAAGGTTCCATACCAACTGAAACCAACTAACAAATGGACAATTTAGAGGAACTCAAGATCTTTCTAGATAAATCATTCCACCAAATACCAAAAACGACATAGTGACCAACTGGTTGGTGTCTCTACTAAAACTCAAGAATTCAGACCCAAACTTACCAAAGAAATATATTAAAGCCTCCTTTTGCTGTTTGGTATTGTCATCAAATTAAGGTTAACATGGAGTTAGAAATAGTAAAAAAAAAAAAAAAAAAAAACCGTCAACTCAGTAGGAGCAGTAAGTCACACCTGTAATCCAAGCGCTTTGGGAGGTTAGATGTTTGAGACCACGCTGAGCAACAAAGAGAGACTGTGTCTCTATAAAAAATGATTAAAAATTAGCCAGGTATGGTGGCACACACCTGTAATCCCAACAACTCCGAAGCTAACATGAGAGGATCATTTGAGCTCAGGAGTTAAGAGGTTGCAGTAAGCTATGCTCCAGCCTGGACAAAAGAGCAAGACTGTCTCTAACAAAAAGAATCAAACGTTAGATGCTATGCTGCATTATAGTTTTCTTATAATATTTAGCTCTGAAGTGAGCTGGAAGACATTCTGCAAAGGTATACATCTCAAAGATTAAATGTTTTAGAAAGCCACCTGCATGCATTATGGCTTCATAATTAAAGTTCCTTTAAATAAATATATAAGCCCAGGTGCCAAAGAGCAACATGCTTTATGTCCTATTACACATCAGGTCTTTCCACAAGCAGGCCCCAGCCTCAATAGTAGGCAACAACAGATGCCCCACAGGCAAGACGGCAGTGTCTAAAAGCCTAGACTTCAAAGGCTGCCTCTTCAAATCTCAGTTTTTATCTGTATGACCTTGGGCAAATTAATCTCAGCACATCTTAGTTTCTCACCTAACGGCTGGTGGTTCTGGGAATCCAGTTCATCATGTAAGACAAATAATCTAAAGTCATACATAAGCTTACAGAGTGCTTATAATGTCTATCTGCTTTGAGGATTCAGTGGTCCTACAAGTACTAAAACAGCAAAGAATATCTTCTTCCTACAGTGAAAATCCAGTACAGGAAATCTGAGAAAGGCCACATTAAGTACACAAAACTCCACGTTGCATCCCCTCTCCCTTACAACTCAGAACACTCCAGACGCAGGGGGCTTTCTCCAGCAGCCACTGTCACCTCCCTTCAGATGCTCTACACCTGAAGCAGAACTTCAGCCCCTCACTGAGGACAAGGGATGGATCTTAAAACATCGAAATTAACTTTTCCTGCTGTAAGATTTCCCAGTAACTGAGTGAGTCACTCTTTTACAGAGTAAAATGTCAAGGTTGCCAGAGAATCCCGGCCCAGATGTTTGCATAAATCATTTTCAAGTGATCACCAAGCCAAAGGACATTATTTAAGATAACACTTTAAGTAACATACATCAGTTTTTATGATTTTTTTTCCCTGTAAGAAAGGAAATTCTGAAAATGAGGTTACTGGAGGGAAAGAAATCACAGTAATTTTCAACCCAAAACTGTATCAAACTAAACTCAGGACTCCTTTTGCTCTTCAGAGAGTTTGCCTTTTTTCCAACTTCATCAACAAGCAAACTGGGCAAACTCTAAGGTCAGGATTTTAAAATGCCTATAATGCTTGTTTCATATTTTCTCTGTCATACTACCAAGGGGAAGCAGAAGCTTTTAAAAATCTGATACATATGTCTGTAGCAAGATTTTTAATAACTCTCATCTGAAATTCATTTTGAGCACTCTGTATTCACCCTTGGATAAGGGGCCTTTTTTCACTTTCATAATAATTCAAGCAAAATTTGTACTTTAATTTCAATTAAACCCACCCAAGGCATTGGCCCTGGCATATCAGAAGAAATGGCAAGGATACTCTTTGTTCATTTAAATTAATACCAAAACAAATTAAAATAACAATTCATGTCCTGTCTTTCTCCACCCCTAAGTAGTAGTTGTTAGATTAGCTGGTCAGGGTTTGAGTTCTCCAGGCTCACTGGTTAAGAGCACAGTACACAAAACTCAATTTTACTAAAATTTCCGATTATGTACCGGTCACTGGCAAGTAACTTGAAACCGAACTCGCACACGCGGCGCGGTACCTTTCCAAAACAGAACAGATTGTGGCCGTTTTGCTTATTTTTAGTAACTTTAAATGAAAGAGTTTAGACGGATGTCTTCCAGCTGACTTGCCGATGTAACCATCGGGCGCAGAACTGAGCGCCCCACAGCTTCCGGCCGCAGTATAGCACGCGCTTCCCCAGTCCGCTCCCCACGCCTGCTGCTAACTAACCAGATGTGATTGCTGAAGAATGACGACACTAAATCAACCTACAGCTCTACATCTAAAAGGGCCGCGATAAACTTTTCTCTCCATGGGGGCAGTGAAAAGAAAGAAAATAAAAATGCCTAGGAGGGGGCAATGTTGGATCTATTTCCCCGATTCGGTGCGCGCAGGGGGTCTGAGCTGGCGGCTTAACCCCGTACGAGCCGGGGGACGACACACGGCAATACCCCCGCGTCGCGCCGGCGAGGGGGCGTCCCATGCCGCGCCGGTTCCCGACCAGCAGGTACCCAGGCCACCCCAACGGGCCTGGGTACGAGTGCGGAAACGGCCATTCTCCCTGAGCGTGATTCCGCCACCGCACGCTGGTCAGCACTTTGTTAACTCCGCACGCCTGGGGGAGGTGGCTCCCAGGTCGCGAACACAGCCGACCCAGCGCTACAGAACCCCAGCTGGAGGATGTTCGACCGCCTCGGGTTCGGCCTCGCCTGCCCCGACGCGGAGCAGCACGTAAGAACACGGCCCCCACGCGTCGCCTCTCGGAGCCCCGCGCCCCGGCTCTCAGGTACTCACCTGGGGAAAGGAGCCCTCGCGGCGCGGGTTCTTGGGGTAGTCCAGGTGACCCCGGTCGAGCATCAGGTAGAGCGAGAAAATCACCACACAGAAGATCGCACTGCCGAACACGGTGAACTGGCGGCTTAACTTCATTTTCCTCGATAGACTCGGGGCCAGGACACTGTCCTCACCCGGCGGAGGCAGCGGACTGTGGACTCTAAGCAGCAGCCACCGGGGGCTCCCTTCTCCCCGGCTGCGCGCCCTCGGCGCTCTCGGGCGCCGGTCCCGGCGGCGCTCCTCACCTCGCCTCCGGCGCCACCACGCGCCCTTGGCCTTCGCCCCGGCCCGCCGCCCTCCCCGGGGCCAGGCGCTCCCTCGAGGCGAGACTCGCCGTCAGTGAAGAAGGGGTCCCCACAAACTTGATCGCTAGCTTGGTGCCGACGCCCGGCGGGGCGCGCGGGGCCGACGGAGGGCAGGTCGCTTGCCCGGACTTCCTGCCACCACCGCCCTGAGTCGGCAGGAAAAGTTTTCTCGACGAGGGCAGGCGTGTCCTCACCCACAGGCGGCGCGGGTTCGGCAGCTCCCGGGCCGAAGCCGCGCTGTTAGGTCCGAGAAGCCCAAGGGGAAGCAACAGAGTCGGGAGGAGCCCGAACCTACAACTTAACTCCGGGACGGTCGGGCCCGCCCCGCGGCACCGCCCCCACCTCCCCTGACTGAGCCCCTTCCTGCGGCCGCCCGCGCCGCTGACAACCGCCGGGCCGGGGCGCACGGATCCGGCAGGAGTTTCCACAGAGCGCGCGTCCGCTCACCGGCCTCTCCTGCCCCTCTCCGCCCCTACCCTCCCCCGCCCGGCCCCGGGCTGCGCGGGAAGGGCGCAGGGGTCTGGAGGCAGCAGCGCGGGGAGGGCACAGAGGGCGGGCGGGAGCAGTGCGTGGAGAAGGAAAAGGAGAGCCCGGAGGAGAGGACGGTCCCCGGAGAGAAGCCCGCTCCAGCCGCAGCAGTGAGCCCCCTCCGTCCTTCCCGCCCCGCAAACACGGAGATGGCGGCGGCAGCTGCGAGAGGAAGCGCCGGTTCTCCAGCGCCACTCGGCTCTCCAGCACCGCCTGCCACCGACAGGAGACAGCGGCGGCGCTGCGGCCGCTGGGTCGATAGGCGCCCGCAGCCTCGGAGCCCTGCGAGCGGCGGGCCCCGCCCCCTCCCTACGCGCCGGGATGAGGAGGCGGGCCCCCCGGCGCCCAATCAGAGCGCGCCGCCCGCTGGGCCCGCCCCGCGCCTGTCTCCCAGTGCCCCGGCGGTAGGAAGACCTCGGAAGCCTTTGTGACCTGAGAGGCATCTTTGCAGGAGTTGAGGCCTTCAGGGGTGTTCGGGAGCCATCAGCCCATGTTCCCCAGGGGCTGAGCTTCCCACCCACTTCCTTTTTGTTGCCCAGTTTTCCTATCCTCGAGCGCCGGGCCCGGCACGTTTTGAAAGAATACTCGGTGAAGGACTGTAGGAAAAGAGGGCTGCGCCTTCTCTTCAGACTCTTCCTTTCTTCCGTTGATTTTTGTATCATTCTGTTGAAACCCGGGTAAAAAGAACCTGCCAAAGGCTCCTGGCTCCTCAACTCCGGGCAGATGTAGGCATCTGACTACAAAATCTGCTAGGGGAACCTTTAAAGTGATGCATGTGCCGGTTATCGATTTATTGCTTCTCAGCTCCAAATTCACCCTTTTTGACTGCGCTGTGAAAGTGGATCTGGGCCTTTTAAACAGGCTTTCCTTTGCCTTCTGGGACTAAAGCTTTGTCAGTAGAGGGCACTGAAGAGACATTACAGAAAGGAAGGGGTTTTGCTTCCTGATTTTGGTGTATACGTAAGCAGGTTCTTGCAGCAGCGTACCTGGCTTTCTCCAGTGCCAAGTTCCATAGCCAGCAGTTTCCTCTCATACCCCTAACTCTAGGAGTGTGAAACACTGCCCTATGAATAAGTTCTCTGTCATGGTAGAGATATCTGCAGCAAGTTGCAAAGGGCAGATGTTCTTAAGTGTTGCAGGTATAGCACCACTGTGACTTCTCTGCCATTCACTAAGCCAGGCTATGCCCTTTCCAAAAAGGTCTGCATCTTAGGACTGAGAGAATGGGAAGGTTTTTCACTGGGCAATCTACCTCTCAGCCCTGGAGTAAGATGTAAGGTTAACTCCTTATAGCTATTTCTTGAGTCTCTAGAGTTCTCTTCTTACTAGTGAATCCCTCATTATTCTAATCCTCATTAAATTATTATTTTTTTTTTATCAAGGCTTCTTTGTCCCAGGAGTAGTCCCTATTTTTCTTGGGAATTTGGTTTGATTGAGGCTTGGGGCTTGAGCTCCTTTACAAAGGGAAATGGAATGCTGGTAACAAAACCATGAGGATAGAGGTAGAGGTAGAGTTAATCAAGCAGTCACCTGTGGTTGATCTTGATGAAATGCCACTGAACCTTTAGAAGCCTAACTGGCAGCTACACTTGACCACTATGGTTATAAATGTAACTAGCAGGACCTAGTTTGGTGTGGGGTTGATTCTTTTGAGTGTCTTTGAGTGCTTGTAAAAAGAAATGATAACCACAGGTCCAATAACTTTCAGAGTTATGGTATGAGAACCACAGAAATTCTATACAATTCTAAAAGAAGCACCTATTTATTGTAGAAATAAGAATAATGCTGAAAATCAAATATAAAATTTTAATTTTCCTATAACTGAATTATAACTATTAAATTCACATACATGCCAAGTTTCTTGAATAAAAGTTAAGTTGCTAATTGATAAAAAATTGAACCTCAAAACTTGAAATGACTTGAACTCAGATGAAACCAAACCCTCCAAGTCACTCTGACTTTCCCTTATCGGTGGAAATATGTTGCCCTCCAGTGTCTAAGGAGACTAGCCTGCCTCTGCTTGACAATTTATGATGGCAGAGTGCTATCTATTCAGATAGATTCCCTGAGTCTAATGGGATTAATAGGATCCCAGGATAGCAGAGGCCAGGAGCACATAACTATCAAAGACAAGGCGGCCACATCTACCTGATTGACTGCCTTGGCTTACCAAGATGCCCTAGGAACAAAATATATAGACAGCCTAAATAGATTATAGCTTGATGATTATAATAGGTAAAGCTCTAAATGAAGTATATCAGATAGGCAAAATCCTACTTGAGTTGCCAGTCACAGCCTGGACTGTCACAGGCTCTCAGCTTTTAGACCTAAATCAATGCACAGAAAAAGTCCCTTAGTTGAAGGAGAATCTGAAGGGCCATGCACCATTGCCACAATACACAAGGCAAATCCCTTTAATCCTTCTCCAAAGAGATACATGGCCATTTAGTAGAGTGTTTGTGCACTGGTAAACCTCAGATCTTTTCAGGTTTACTAGACTCTGGCTCTGAATTGATGCTAATTCCTGGGGACAAAAAAGCAAACAAACAAAAAACACTGTTAGCCACACACCAACTGTGTGATTACTTTCCCAGTTCTTGAATGTGTAGCAGGAATAGACACAATTTAGCAACTGATAGAATCCCCATGTTGGTTTGCCTACTTGAATGTGTAGCAGGAATAGACACAACTTAGCAACTGGTAGAATCCTCACATTGGTTTGCCTACCCCAGGGAATGGTGGCCATTATTAGGAAGAGCTAAGGGTAAGCTTCTGGAACTTTCACTCTCTTCCAAGATAGTAAACCAGAAACAACACCATATGGCTAGGAAGGATTCATGCTACCATAAAAGGTTTGAAAGGAGTACAGGTGATGATATTTATTATATTCCCATTTAACCAGTTTGGCCAGTGCAGAATGGATCTAAGAAAATTACTGTAGACAATTATAAACTTAATAAGGAGGTGATTCCAATTGCAGCAGCTGTCTCAAATGTACTATCAACCCAGCACCTGGCACTTGGTATACAGCTGTGGACATTACTAATGCCATTTTCTCTGTGCCTATTTGTAAAACCTCCAGAAGCAGTTGGTTTTTACCTGTCAGGGCCAACAGTATACCTTCACAGTGTTGCATTAGGGGTACATCACTTGCCCTTAATATAGTGCACAGAGATGCTGTCTCAACATTCCATAAAACATCACACTGGTGCACTATATTGACAACATTATGCTGATTAGATCTGATAACCACAAAGTAGAGAGCATTTTAGATGCCTTAATAATATATAATTGAACTAGAGAGAAGGCAATAATAATCACAAGATGACAACTTCTAAAGTGGGCACTGCAGACATAAGATAGGTTGAAGGATAGCACAGTCCATACAAGGAAGAAACCACTGCACCACTGTGAGATACACCCCAACAAATGGTGTGGATTGGAAACGGTGAGGACTAGGGGGGAGAGGAGATGACGTGATTCCTGCAGGGACTGATCATACCAATCACATGCCCAGAGAAGGAATGGGATAGGCTGAACGTGTCGCCTTAAAATTTCTATGTTGAAGTCCCAGACCCCAGTAGTTCAGAATGTAGTAGCATTTAAAGAGGCAACCGAGTCAAAATGAAGTTGTTAGTGTGGCTCTAATCCAATCTGACTGGTGTCCTTATAAGAAGAGTTACCAGGGACAAGTGCACACAGAGAAAAGACCATGTGAGGATACAGTGAGAAGGCGGCCATCTACATGCCAGAAGGTGGCCTCAGGAGAAACCAAACTTGCTGACACTTTCATCTTGGACTTCTACCCTCTGCATGAGAAAATAGATCTCTGGTGTTTAAGCCACCCAGTCTGTGGTATTTCGTTATACCAGCCCTAGCAAACTAGTAAGAAGGCAACCACCAGCTGGTAGGAAATGTTTACAAACCACATAGTGGATAAGGGACTTATATCCATAATATATAAGGAACCCACATAATCCAATAGCAAATAAATAAATAACTCAATTAAAAAATGAGCAAAGGACTCATGAGTAGACCTTTCTCCATAGAAGATATATGAAGGGCCATTAGGTATATTAAAAGGTGTTCAACATCACTAAACATTTACAATGAGATATCACCTCACTCCTGTCAGGATGCCTATTAGAAACAAGTCAAGTGATAGAGTTGGCCAAGAAGTAGAAAAAAGGAAATGCTTGTGCACTGTTGGTGGGTTTACAAATTGGTAAACAAATTCTACTATTGTAGAAGACAGTTATGAACTTCCATTACCCACCAACCCTACTCTGGGCTATATCTCTAAAGTACTTTCTCCTGTTTAGCAAATTAACTTGGATTATCTTGATTGCTGCTTATTCCATTTTAAAAAGATTTTACTGCCTACTTATTAAAAAGCTTCATTTTTTCCTATCATTACTAGTACATAAGTCGTTACATCTCCTAGAGCTGATAATAGCCCTTCTAACAGGTGTGAGGTGATGTCTTGGCTCTCTGCACTCCCACGTTCACTGCAGCATTATTCCCAATAGCCAAGATACAAAATCAACCTAAGTGCATCAGTAGATGAATAGATGAAGAGAAGGTGGTACATGTCTATGTACATGACAGAATACTATTTCACTATAAAAAATGAAAGAGATTCTGTCATGTGCAACAACATAAAAGGACTTGGAGGACACTATGCTGAGTGAAATAAACCAGATTCAGAATACAAACACTACATGATCTCAGTTATACTTGTATGAGGAGTCTAAAGAAGTCAAACAACTTTTATGT